GATTGTGTTTAAGTGCAGGCCAAGGTCTTTAGGCACTGCACCCAGTGTGCCAATCACCACTGGGACCACCTTGACTGGCTTGTGCCAGAGTCTTTGCAGTTCGATCTTTAAATCCTTGTATCGTGCCAGCTTTTCCAGTTGTTTCTCTTCAATCCTGCTGTCGCCTGGGGTTGCAACATCGATGATCCATACTTTGTTTTTTAATATGATCGAGAGGTCAGGAGCATTGTGCTCCTGAATTCGGAAGTCCCAGAGGAGTTTGGCATGTTCATTCTCTGTAACTTTTTCCAGCTTCTGATCCCACCAGTTTTTTGTCGCAGGCAGATGGTATTTGTGGCACAAGTTCCAATGAACCATCTGAGCAACGGTGTTGTGCCTCTGCTTGTAGTCTGTCTGCGCCATCTTCTTGCAGCAGCTGAGGATGCGATCTATTGTTTCATCTGCTTCCTTGCAGAGTCTACATTTGGGACTCTTTCCAGCTTGTGATCCCACCAGTTTTTTGTCGCAGGCAGATGGTATTTGTGGCACAAGTTCCAATGACCCATCTGAGCAACGGTGTTGTGCCTCTGCTTGTAGTCTGTCTGCACGATCTTCTTGCAGCAGCTGAGAATGTGATCTATTGTTTCATCCGCTTCCTTGCAGAGTCTACATTTGGGACTCTTTCCAGCTTGTGATCCCACCAATTTTTTGTCACAGGCAGATGGTATTTGTGACACAGGTTCCAATGAACCATCTGAGCAACGGTGTTGTGCCTCTGCTTGTAGTCTGTCTGCGTGATCTTCTTGCAGCAGCTGAGGATGTGGTCTATTGTTTCATCTGCTTCCTTGCAGAGTCTACATTTGGGACTCTTTCCAGCTTGTGATCCCACCATTTTTTATGGTATTATTATTATGAGATTACTATTATTCTCATCGAGTCAGAGGAGACCCAAGGGCCATGCAGTCCACCCCATTCAGCCAAGCAGGAAGGTAGCATTGCTATTATTATTCCGTTTCTTTCGACACGGGACCCCGAGCGGACATGTCCTATTATAGACTTGTGTCGGCATGCATGCACGAGGCAGGCCGGGAGGCGTTCTCCCTCCTTCTCCTTGGCCTGCTTCCTTCCCTCTCTTGCGCTTCTCCCCCAGATTATTCCTTTGACGTCAGAGGAGGCCAAGCAACTCCAAGAAGGGCCTGGGCGGCTGACTCACTCCCTTTGCCGCCACCGTCATTCGAACACGGAGCCTCCTGGGCCGAAACAGGCCTTCGCAGCAGAGCTAAAAATAATTCCTCCTTTGCTTCCTGCACGGCTCTAGGGAAACAGGTCAAGGAGACCTTGCCCAAGGAGGGAGAAACAAGCACAAAGCAGCTCAGAAGGGGCCCCCAAAGGCCATCTAGTCCAGACCTTTCCTTCCTGCCATTATGAAGGGAAAGCACCATCAAAGCCCTCCCGACAGATATTATAATATTAATGAAGATGAGAATAATAATAGAGTTGGAAGAGACCTCAGCCACGAAACCCAAGCGTTGACCTGACCGTGGAGGCAAGTGCCACTCTTTCAGCTTCTCTGGGGAAAGCAAGGAGCTTCGTGCATCCATCGAGCCCACTCTGCTGCTTCCAAGAACCGGGGAATGACTCAGAGGGGGCACACGCACAGGCACGCACACGCCATGGTTCCCAGCCATCCGCCCGCCCTTGCCATGTCCCCAGATAACCCTTTGCCTTTCTGAGTGGGAGGCATTGCATGGGCGCCTCTCCCTTTGCTGCTTGCTCTCAACTGACTGCAACACCCATTGTCCCCAGGAATACTTATAATAATAAAGCAAAATGATTCCCAAAGAATCCTGGAGCTGGAAGGGACCTCTAAAGGACATCCAGCCCAACCTCTTCTTTCTGCCTTCGTGCAGGAAAAGCACCATCAAAGCACCCCCAACAGAAAGCCATCCAGCCTCTGAATAATAATAATAATAATAATAATAATAATAATAATAATAAATAGAGTTGGAAGTGACCACATGGGCTATCCACACACATGTACGATAGATACATGATGGAATCATAACACTGGAAGAGATCCCAAAGGCCATCCAGTCCAACCCCTTTCTGAATTCATGCAGGAAAAGCACCATCAAAGCACCCCCAACAGATGGCCATCCAGCCTCTGCATAATAATAACAATAATAATAATAATAATAATAATAGTAATAGTAATAATAGTAATAATAATAGAGTTGGAAGTGACCACATGGGCCATCCACACACATGTATGATAGATACATGATGGAATTATAAAGCTGGAAGAGATCCCAAAGGCCATCCAGTCCAATCCCTTTCTGCCTTCGTGCAGGAAAAGCACCATCAAAGCACCCCCAACAGATGGCCATCCAGCCTCTGCATAATAATAATAATAATAATAATAATAAATGGAGTTGGAAGTGACCACATGGGCCATCCAGACACACAAACACATATATGATAGTGGGTTGTTGTAGGTTTTTCCGGGCTATATGGCCATGTTCTAGAGGCATTTTCTCCTGACGTTTATATGATAGATACATGATGGAATTATAATGCTGGAAGGGATCCCAAAGGCCATCCAGTCCAACTCCTTTCTGCCTTCATGCAGGAAAAGCACCATCAAAGCACCCCCAACAGATGGCCATCCAGCCTCTGAATAATAATAATAATAATAATAATAATAATAATAAGAGTTGGAAGTGACCACATGGGCCATCCAGACACACAAACACACAGACATATATGATAGATACATGATGGAATTATAACATTGGAAGAGATCCAAAAGGCCATCCAGTCCAACCCCTTTCTGCCTTCGTGCAGGAAAAGCACCATCAAAGCACCCCCAACAGATGGCCATCCAGCCTCTGCATAACAACAACAACAATAATAATAGTAATAATAATAATAATAATAATGAGTTGGAAGTGACCACATGGGCCATCCAGACACACAAACACATATATTATAGATACATGATGGAATTATAACGCTGGAAGAGATCCCAAAGGCCATCTAGTCCAACCCTTTCTGCCTTCATGCAGGAAAAGCACCATCAAAGCACCCGCAACAGATGGCCATCCAGCCTCTGAATAATAATAATAATAAATGGAGTTGGAAGTGACCACATGGGCCATCCACACACATGTATGATAGATATATGATGGAATTATAAAGCTGGAAGAGACCCCAAAGGCCATCCAGTCCAATCCCTTTCTGCCTTCGTGCAGGAAAAGCACCCCCAAGAGATGACCACCCAGCCTCAATAATAATAACAATAGATGTTGGAAGTGACCAGATGGGCCATCCAGACATACACACAATACATACACAGTAGAATCATAAAGTGGAAGGAATCCCAAAGACCATCCAGTCCAACCCCTTTCTTCCTTCTACGGAGAAAAAGCACGATTAAAGCAACCCCAACGGATAGCCACCCAGACTCAATAACAATACTAATATAACAACAATAACAACAATAGAGTTTGAAGTGATCACGTGGGCCATCCATCCACACACACACTAGATACATGATTGAATCGATGGAATCACAAAGCTGGAAGGGATCCCAAAGGCCATCCAGTCCAACCCCTTTCTTTCTTCTATTCAGGAAAAGCACCAGCAAAGCAACCCCAACAGATAACCACCCAGACTCAATAACAACAACAACAACAACAACAACCACTACACCAGGGGCCATCCAACCCAACCATCTTCTGCCATGCAGGAAAAGCACAATCAAAGCAACCCCAACAGATAGCCACCCAGACTCAAAAATAATATTACTATAACAACAATAACAATAATAGAGTGTGAAGTGACCACATCGGCCATCCATCCATCCATCCATCCATCCATCCATCCACACACACTAGATACATGATGGAATCACAAAGCTGGAAGGGATCCCAAAGGCCATCCAGTCCAACCCCCTTCTTCCTGCCTTCATGCCAGAAAAGCACCATCAAAACACCCCCAACAGATGGCCATCCAGCCTCAGCTTAATAATAATAATACAATAGAGTTGGAAGGGGCCCCAAAGGCCATCCAGTGCAACCCCCTTCTTTCTTCTATTCAGGAAAAGCACCATCAAAGCACCCCCAACAGATGGCTATCCAGCCTCAATAACAACAATAACAAAGTTAGAAGTGACGACATGGGCCATCCAGTCACACACGCACACACATGTGACATACATGAAGCTGGAAGGGATCCCAAAGGCCATCCAGTCCAACCCCCTTCTTTCTTCTATGCAGGAAAAACACCATCAAAGCACCCCTGACAGATGGCCACCCAGCCACAACAACAATAATAATAGAGCAAAGGCCACCTGCCTTCATGCAGGAAAAGCACCATCAAAGCCCCCTCGACAGATGAGGGCTAAGCCTCAATACTATTCCCAATACATCTAACTCTGCCAGGCTCTTCTAGCATTTGGGTTGGACTACAACTTCCAGGCACGAAGATAAAGAGTGGGGAGGAGGAAAGGCAACCACAGCCACTTCAAGAGGATCTGGATTACAACTTCCATTCTCCCATTCCAACCAGGAAGGAAGGAAGGACCATAATAATAATCATGATGTAAAATAATAACATAAAACAAAATAATAAATAAATAAAATAAAAATTTGTATAAATATGTATAAATAAAATAAATAAATAATAAAACAAAAACCATACAAATTATAATCCAAATTATTACAAATAAATACAAATGATAAAGAAATAAAAATAATCCAATCATAACAACGCAAAATAATAACATAAATAAAAACAGTGTATAACATATAAAAATAAAATCATAATATAAAACAATAATGTAACATAATAATGTATACTGATGTTAACGTAAAATAAAATAATGTATAACATAATAAAATCATAATAAAATATTTCATATGTATGTATATCACACACACACACACACACACATATATATATATATATCATAACATATCATCATATATGCCCAACAATCATATGCTGTCTTTCTCCCTTACCTGAGTTTCTGTTAAACTTTCCAGCGCTTGCATCACGGACTGTTCTGGCCTGGATGCTTGAGACTGTGGGGAGAAATCAAATTAAATTAAATTAAAAACAGGAAGCCAAGGTGACAATGCTTCTCAACTTCCTGCCTGCTCTGGATGACCACAAGAATCAAGAAGAAGATACACTGCTCTGCATAGGAGATATGCTACTTATTTCTTGTTGAGGTTGCCATGACTCCAAATTGAGAGAGATATATATATATATATATATATATATATATATATATATATATATATAGCTGTATCTGCCCTGTGTCCTTTACCATTAAGCCGGCTTCCACGGTGGGCACCAAGGTCAGCTTGCTCCCTTCACCGACCCCAAGGTCTTGCAATTTCCCCGAACTCAGGCGGCTAGAAGAGGAGGAGGAGGAGAAAGACAAGAATTAGGTCTAGGAAAGAGATAAAACAGCTCCAATTTTAATTCCACCCACTCACCCCATTCCCCTGCCTTCAAGGTTGGGATTTCATGCAATGGAAACGTAAAACTTTAGCAATCCTTCCCTTCCTTACTTTCTCATTTGGCCCATCCCTGCAATTGGGAGGAGTGGAAAGGCTGTGATCAAGGTCTTTTTTGGACTATCATTATTATCATTACTAAATGAATATGTATTATTAGTAAAGTAATATTTATTATTATTAAAATAATATTATTTTTAAATGATAGTTATTAAATTGATAGTTTTATAATAATAATAACATACAATAAATATATTATATGAAATATATAAAATATAAAGTAATATATATTAAATATAAAGTAATATATAAAGTAATATATATAATATATAAAATATAAAGTAATATTATTAATAGTAAATAAAAATAATAATGTATAATATCATAATGTAAAATAATAAAGAATGTATAATAGACAATAAAATAACAATAGTATAATCTAAAATAATAAAAACAATGTATAAGTTAAATAATAAAAATTGTACAAGAGTAATAGATAATAAAATATTATTATAGTGAATATTATTATTAAATGAATAATAATTATTAAACTAATATGTATGTTATTAAGTTATTATTTAAATATTATTACTAAATTAATAGAGTTATTATTTAAATATTATTATTACTAAATTAACTATTAATAATATTTTTATTATTAATAGTTATTACCAATAATATTTATCATTCAATTAATATTTATTATTAAACGGATATGTATTATTAAAAGTTATTATTAAATGTATATTAGGAGCCCCCAGTGGCTCAGTGGGTTAAACCCCTGTGCCGGTAGGACTGAAGGTCGCAGGTTCGAATCTGGGGAAAGCGCGGATGAGCTCCCTCTATCAGCTCCAGCTCCTCATGCAGGGACATGAGAGAAGCCTCCCACAACGATGGTGAAAACATCAAAACATCCGGGTGTCCCCTGGGCAACGTCCTTGCAGACGGCCAATTCTCTCACACCAGAGGCGACTTGCCGTTTCTCAAGTCGCTTCTGACATGACAAAAAGATGTATATTTATTATAAAAATAATATTTTATTATAATATAATATTAATAGTAAAATAGCTATTATTAAAATAATATTTATTGTTAAATTGATAGTGTTTATTACCATTCATCCTGATTATGAAATGACTTATTTATAATTATGAAATGAAAATTTTTGAAACTGATATGTATTATTATTAACTTAATCGCTATTATTAAAATAATTAAATTGACAGTTATTCCCATTAACATTATAAAATTATGTTTATTATAGTTATATTAATCGTGAAATATTGTCGAAGGCTTTCATGGCCGGAATCACTCAGTTCTTGTGGGTTTTTTCGGGCTATATGGCCATGTTCTAGAGGCATTTCTCCTGACGTTTCGCCTGCATCTATGGCAAGCTTCCTCAGAGACCACTGAGGAAGCTTGCCATAGATGCAGGCGAAACGTCAGGAGAAATGCCTCTAGAACATGGCCATATAGCCCGAAAAAACCCACAAGAACTGAATCGTGAAATAATTAAATAATATTTTTATTATCAAATCTATCGTTATCATTACCATCGAGGAATTGAATATTTATGATTACTAAAAGAACATTATAAAAATAATATTGATCAATTGGTATGTATTAATAATTGATCTATATTATTTATGATAAATTCATACGATAGGTATGATTCCTAATAAATTCATGTCTATCCATAATAATTCCAAAATTATTATTATTTCTATATTATGATTAGTATTGATCGATTGGCTATTGGAAGGTGTGGGAGAAAAGGAAACTGGGGGATGCAAAGGGGAGCAATACATCTGGATTGCAGGTTCTATTCCAGGGGATTTGGGGCATTAGAAAGGCGCCAGGTCTTCTGATTATCATGCAAAGGAAAGGCAAACCTGACCTGCATGCTAATCTCCTGCCTGACAAAAGGAGGGACGGGAACAAAGAGGAAGGGAGGAAGGAAGGAAGGCCTACCTTCTTCTCCAATGCAAATGCCCCCTCCTCCCTGGCCGGCCCTGCCACCATTATTCTTGGCAATGTGCTAAACACAAAGACATACAGACAGGCATATCCACACCTACAAGCAGGTAAGTCCGCTTTGCATTTACGGGTAGGATTGTCCAGGTACATCTATCTTTCGATCTACCTATTGATCCCATTCAAACAAAGAGTCGGCCTTCTTGCTCCTTATTCTATTGTTAGTGCAAAAGGAGGAGTCTCAGAAAATAGATAGATCTTTGTATCTATATATGTAGATATACGCTATTACAGTCTGTATTACGGTTCCAGGATGTTTGAATGGCTGGGCCATCGGAGCCAATAGCACTCCCCTGCCTTCCGCCCCAGCGCTCTGGATGTGGCTGGACTACAATTCCCATCATCCCCTATCTATTCTCCCCGCGAAACCCTTATGTTTCCAAGTTTGGACCAGATCCACCCGGCCAAGCCAAGGAGGGCTTGGGACACTTTCATCAGGCATCATAATAAGAAGAATGAAGAATAATAAAGTAAGATATTGAATAGATAATAAAATAATAATAAAACCAAAAAGGTATAATGATATATAATTAAAAATGTAAACTAATAAAAATAATAGATAATATATAATAACATCATCATAATACTACTAATAGATAATAGTCATTATTTATTTATAGTAAATAGATAATAGTACTAATAGATAATAATAAAACAATAATGTATAATAAGGTAACATAATAAAAATGTATAACATAAAATAATAATATATAATATAATCTATAACATATAATAATTGATAATAAAATAATAATGTACAAAAACATAATAATGTGTACTAATAGATAATAATAAAACAATAATGTATAATAATAATAATAAGGTAACATAACAAACATGTATAATATCATAAAATAATAATGTATAATAACATATGTACTAATAGATAATAAAACAATAATGCATAATAATAATAATAATAATAATAAGGTAACATAATAAAAATGTATAACAAACATAAAATAATAATTATATAGCAATATATAATAATAAAAGAATGTATAACTTATTATAAATATTGATAAAATAATAATGTATAATAACATAATATGTACTAATAGGTAATAATAAAACAATAATGCATTATTATATATTATTTTACATTGTTATTACACATTTTTACTATGTTACCTTATTATTATTACAATAAGGTAACATAATAAAAATGTATAATAACAATGTAAAATAATACATATTATTATTATAGAATAATGCATAATAAAATAATGTATAACATAATGATTAATAATAAAATAATACTGTATAATAACAAGGCAAAATAATAAAAAATGTACAAAATAATAGATAATAAAATAAAAAAATAATGTACTATAATAGTAACATAAAAATAATAATAGACAATGCATAATAAAATAATATATAATAAGGCAAAATAATAAAAATAATGTACTAGAATACTAACATAAAATAATAGATAATGCATAATAAAATAATATATAAGGCAAAATAATAAAAAATAATGTACTATAATAATAATAACATAAAATAATAGATAACGCATAATAAAATAATATATACGGCAAAATAATAAAAAATAATGTTTAATAACAAAATAGCAACAATAGATAGCAATAGATAATAACATAATAGGAAATAAAATAATAATGTATAATAATAAGGCAAAACAATAAAATGTACCAAAATAGATGAGTAATTAGTATAAAATTATATTTATTACTATAAAAATATAGGTATTGTAAAATTATATTTATTAATAGCGACATAATTACCAAAACAATATTTTATGATTACACCAATCGTTATTATTACCATTAATTAAATGAATATTAGCATAGAAAGAGATAATTTATCAATAATAATGTAGAATAATAATATAAAATGTAGTATAACATACGATAAAATAACCTAATAGTCATATTTAACATTAGATAACAATAAAATAAGGTACAATAATAAAATGGTAGTAAAAATAATAAATAATATAGTGAAAAAGTAAAAAAATAAATAAAGAATGTATAATAATAGGCAAGAAAATAAGAATAAAAATAGATAATAGATAATAGGAGAATAATAATGTAAAATAATGGACAACAATAAGAGGCAATGCTAAAATGATTATAACAATGTTGTCAGATGAGAAGAATGTCTAACAATGAAATGATACAAGCAAGAGTGGATCATATGTAAGAGAGGCGGGGGCCTGCTGCTCCTGGCCTGGGTACCTGTCCCTGTGGAGGAGGGCGAGCCTGTGGCGCGGGAGGCGGAGGCGCTGGGCCAGGCGGCGCTGGAGGCCCTCCACCGTCTCCTCCGCAGGCAGCGCCAGCTCGTACCGGGCCCCCGTCGTGGTCCTCACGCACACCCGCATCGGAGGAGCAGGAGGAGGGGAAGGAGGAGAAGGCGAGGACGGGGATGAGGAGGAGGAGGAGGCCTGGGACGCTGTCACGCCGCCGCTGCTGCTGCTCCTGCTCCTGGCGCCGGGCTGCGGGTCCATCCGCCTTCCTTCCTTCCTTTCTTTGTTCCGCACCTGGGATTCGAACCCGCGTCCCTCAAGAGAAGGACACAACTGAGGGAAGCGGTGAGAAGAAAAGAGCGGCGCCTCAGCTCCTTCTTCCACCGCCGTCGCAGCCCGACTCCGGACCAAAAGGCGAGGCCAAAGAGAGGCGGGGGCAAGGCCTCGCGCTTTTAAAGCCCCACGTCACCAACGGGGCGGGGCTTTCCTCCCCATTCATCCTTTTCCTTCTTTCCTCCCCCCCCTCCTCCGCCTCTTAGCCAATCCCGAGCCGGCCCACGCCCAGGCGCCAGCGCTCTCAGCCAATCCGCCTCTTTTTTTTGTTTCCCCCTTCCTTCCTTTCTTTCTTTCTCCCCGCCCCGCCTCCTTCCTACAGCAGCCACTGCGTAGAAGCCCGCCCACGTGCTCTCTCGCCCCGCCCACATTTAAAGGGGCCGGCGCCGCGGGCAACAAAGGGGAGCCAAGGCTATTGTGCAGTTCAGGGAGAGAGAGATCCACAGCCAGATAAAGAGAGAAAGGGGGCTGCCCAAAAAAAGTGTCTGAATAGTGGAAAATAATGTATAATAAGAAATAATACAATAATAATAATCCAATAATAATATAATATAATACAGTAATAATAATAATAATAATTGGAAAATAATGTATAATAAGAAATAATCCAATAATAATAATAATACAATAATAATAATACAATAATAATATAATGCAATACAATAATAGTAATAAGTGGAAAATAATGTATAATAAGAAATAATCCAATCATAATAATAATACAATAATAATAATACAATAATAATATAATGCAATACAATAATAGCAATAAGTGGAAAATAATGTATAATAAGAAATAATCCAATAATAATAATAATACAATAATAATAATAATACAATAATAATACAATAATATAATATAATCCAATAATAATAATAAGTGGAAAATAATGTATAATAAGAAATAATCCAATAATAATAATACAACAATAATAATACAATAATAATATAATATAATACAACAATAATAATAATAAGTGGAAAATAATGTGTAATAAGAAATAATCAAATAATAATAATACAATAATAATATAATATAATCCAATAATAATAATAAGTGGAAAATAATGTATAATAAGAAGCAATCCAATAATAATAATACAACAATAATAATACAATAATAATATAATATAATACAACAATAATAATAATAATAAGTGGAAAATAATGTGTAATAAGAAATAATCCAATAATAATAATACAATAATAATATAATATAATACAATAATAGTAATAAGTGGAAAATAATGTATAATAAGAAATAATCCAATAATAATACTACAATAATAATATAATATAATACAATAATAATAACAAGTGGAAAATAATGTATAATAAGAAATAATCCAATAATAATACTACAATAATAATAATAAGTGGAAAATAATGTATAATAAGAAATAATCCAATAATAATAATACAATAATACTCAATAATATAATAATAAAATAATATTATAATAATCCAATTATAATAATATAATGCAATAACAATAATACAATAATAATCCAATATAATAATAATCCAATTATAATATAATATAATATAATAATAATTCAATAATAATAATAATAATATACAATAATATAGTAATACAATAATCTATATAAATAAAAAAGTAATGTTCATTTGTGGGATTAACAGAACTCAAAAACAACTGGATGAATTGACACCAAATTTGGACACAAGACACCTATCAACCCAATGTATGTCCGTCACTTAAAAAAAATGATTTTCTCATTTGGGAGTTGTAGTTGCTGGGATTTATAGTTCACCTACAATCAAAGAGCATTCTGAACTCCACCAATGATGGAATTGAACCAAACTTGGCATACAACAGAAAATACTGGAAGGGTGGGTAGTGTCCTTTGGTTTTGGAGTTGTAGTTCACCTACATCCAGAGATCACTGTGGACTCAAACAATGATGGATCTGGACCAAACGCTACAGGAATACTCAATATGCCCAAATGTGAACACCGGTGGAGTTTGGGGAAAATAGAATCTTGACATTTGGGAGTTGTAGTTGCTGGGATTTATAGTTCACCTACAATCGGAGCATTCTGAACCCCACCAATGATAGAATTGGGCCAAACCTCCCACACAAAACCCCCATGTGGGCCACAGCAACGGCAGGGGACCGCTAGTAATATAATAATATTAATACAACAACAACAACAACAAAACAACAAAATAATAATAATAATAATAATAATAATAATACAACAACCAGCAGAGTGTCTTGTGGTGTTTCAAATAATAATAATAATAATAATAATAATAATAATAATAACAATACAATAATAATACAATAATAATGTTATATTGTGTCAGTAAAATAATAATAATAATAATAATAATAATAATAATAATAATAATAATACAATATAAGACTCTGGCACAAACCAGTCAAGGTGGTCCCAGTGGTGATCGGCACACTGGGTGCAGTGCCTAAAGACCTTGGTCTGCACTTAAAAACAATCAGCGCTGACAAAATTACCGTCTGCCAGCTGCAGAAGGCCACCCTACTGGGATCTGCACGCATTATTTGCCGATACATCACACAGTCCTAGACACTTGGGAAGTGTCCGACGTGAGATCCAATTCAACAGCCAGCAGAGTGTCTGCTGTGGACTCATCTTGTTGTGTTTCAAATAATAATAATAATAAAGGTGGTCCCAGTAGTGATTGGCACACTGGGTGCAGTGCTTAAAGACCTTGGCCTGCACTTAAAAACAATCAGCACTGACCAAATCTCCACCTGTCAGCTGCAAAAGGCCACCCTATTCGGATCTCTGTATGCATTATTCGCCAATACATCGCACAATTCCTAGACACTTGGGAAGGGTCCAATGTGGGATCCAACACAAAAGTCAGCATAGTGATCTTGTTTGCTGTGTACCAATCTTGTTGTGTATCTAATAATAATAATGTAAGATAATAATGTACAATAATAATATTAAAATGTAAAATCATATTTTTTTTCTCATGTCAGGAGTGACTTGAGAAACTGAGTCGCTTCTGATGTGAATTGGCCGTCTGCAAGGGTGTTGCCCAGGGGCTGTTGCCCAGATGTTTTGGTGTTTTAACATCCTTGTGGGAGGCTTCTCTCCTGTCCCTGCAGGGAGAGCTGGAGCTGACAGAGGGAGCTCATCCACACTCTCCCTGGATTCAAACCTCCGACCTGTCGGTCTTCAGTCCTGTTGGCACAACCCATTGTGCCACCAGGGGCTCCTATAAAATAATAATAATTATAATATATCATCAAAGACTTTCATGGCCAGAATCATTGGGTTGTGGTCAGTTTTCTGGGCTGTGTGGCCATTTTCCAGAAGCATTCTCTCCTGACAGATTGCCTGCATCGGAGGATGCCTGCCAAAGATGCAGGCAAAACATCAGGAGAGAATGCTTCTGTAACATGGCCATACAGCCTGGAAAATTTACCACAATCCATAATAATAATAATAATAATAATAATAATAATGTAAAATAATGTATAGAGAGAAAACGTGGGTGGAAAATAAAGCACAAAATTGGGGCTTTGAGGGGGAAGGAATGCTGAGATGAATGGCTCCAAAAACAAGAAAGAAAGAAAGAAAGAAAGAAAGAAAGAAAGAAAGAAAGGAGGAAAAGAGGAGGAGGATGGAAGAGGCCCTGTTGGGGAAGGGAAGGAGGCCTTCCCTGCACATTCCTGGCATATTTCACCCAATGAGCCTTTCCTTTGCCTGCCTGCCTGCCTGCCTGCGTCCCCCAAAAGAGAGGCCATGAGCAATGATGCCCCTGGCCATGCGCAGAGTGCAGCCCATGCAACGCCGAAGGATCCAGCCTCCTCCTACAAGGGCCGTTCATGAAAGATGTCCCCTGATCCACTTCTATTTATCACAGGATGCTTGAACTGCACATGTGTGATGATATACGTCTCTATAGGTTATGTGCCAGTTTACAACTCTGAACAGAGAACGGTCTTAATTTTACTACAGGTCCTGAAGTGAGAATGGACCCAGCGGAAGACAGAGCAGTCCTCAAGTTCCTTTACTTGCAAGGCCGCACACCAAAGGAGTCGTTCATTGAGATCAAAGAGGTTTACGGTGAGGATTCCCCATCAGATGATGGAGTCAAGAACTGGCATCGTCCGTTCTGATGTGGTTGGACTTCGGTGTAAATAGCTCCAGTTTCAGGGTGACCCTACTCTGCTATTGAGGAACACACAATCCAGCAAGTGGAGGTTGCCATTTTGGAAAATCACCGTGTAACCATTCTCCACCTAACCCAAAATGTCACGATGAGTGTGAGGTCCGTGGAAAAAAAAACACCCATTTTCACGTGCATAAGGTATCCGCTCACTGGGTCCCCCGGCTGCTCACACCTTTCCAGAAGCAGGAACGAGTCCAATGCTCTCAGGCTCTCTTGACAATGACGTGACACGGAAACCAGGAGGACTTTTTCAACAGACTGATCACAAAGGAGGAAAGCTGGGTCCATCACTCTCGTCGTGAGACTCAAGTCCTGCCAATGCAATGTAAGCATCGAGACTCACCGCCTCCAAAGAAGGGACGTACCCAACTCTCGGCAGGCAAGGTCATTTGTTCATTTGTTCAGCCGCTTCTGACTATTTGTGACCTCATGGACCAGCCCACTCCAGAGCTCCCTGTCGGCCGTCACCACCCCCAGCTCCTTCAGAGTCAAGCCAGTCACTTCAAGGATACCAACCATCCATCTTGCCCTTGGTCGGCCCCTCTTCCTTTTTCTTTCCATTTTCCCCAGCATCATTGTGACAACAACCACCGGGTTTCACAAGCTAAAGATTGACAGATTGATTCAGGACAAATATGTGAGAGGAAGGCACAGGGAGGAGGTAGCAAGCTTGTTTTCTGCTTCCTTGGAGACTAGGACACGGAACAATGGCTTCAAACTACAAGAGAGAAGATTCCATCTGAACATGAGGAAGAACTTCCTGACTGTGGGAGCCGTTCAGCAGTGGAACTCTCTGCCTCGGGGTGTGGTGGAGGCTCCTTCTTTAGGAAGCTTTTAAACAGAGGCTGGATGGCCATCTGTCAGGGGTGATTTGAATGCAGTATTCCTGCTTCTTGGCAGGGGTTGGACTGGA